GATTATATATCATTTTTTTTTGGAGCTGTTGTAGTTGAACAAACTTTAGTCTATTTCTATTTTTCTTTTTATCTTGCCCTCTTGGATGCAAACACACATCTATATATGTGTGTGTTTGTGTTCTTAGTTATTCTTACAACTTTCTTGTGTAATTTTCTTTAGGGTTTTGAAGGAAATAATCGCCTGGGCCTGTGAAATCTACGAAGAAAATAGCTCGTGAGATGCACGGATTGTATTCGAAACTGGGGTTTTAATTAATTAAAATTGACCTCTCTGCAATATTTTTGCTTTATGAGCTTCACTTTTTAGTTGGCCCTTCCCAATTTTAGGGTTTCCTTGTCCTTAGCAAGAAAAAATAATAATAATCACCAGCTATTTTTTCTTTTTCTTTTTGGAAATTTGTGGCTTATCAACAGTGAAAAAAACACATTAAAATAATAAAATAATATAAAAAATCCACACTATATATAATTTAGAGAAAAAATGTTAGTGCAGGGCTTTGATGACAGTATGTCCAATTTAACTTCAGCCATTTCCAATGAAGCCAGCATATCATCATCAATTAGTAACAACATTAATGATATGCCAAATACAGCCATTATTAATAATGCTCATCCACTCCTAAATCTTACCTCTTTTTTCTCTTTTTCTTCTTCTTCTAATAATAATAATAATAATTATAATCAAGTCCAATTAGCTGTTGCTCCCACCAAGAAGAGACGAAATCTTCCCGGCCATCCTGGTAATTTTCTTACATTTTTCTTTATTTTGTGTAATTATAATTATAAAATATAAAAGATTAATTCAAACAATTAATCAAACATTTTCGATTTTGAATCAATTATTTCAAAAATAAAATAAAATAACTAAGCGTGACGAACTAATAAACAGACCCAGAGGCTGATGTGGTGGCGTTGTCCCCAAAGTCCCTAATGGCGACAAACCGATTCGTGTGCGAGACATGCAATAAAGGATTCCAGAGGGACCAAAACTTGCAATTACACAGAAGAGGACACAACTTGCCCTGGAAGCTCAAGCAGAGGAACAAACACGAGGTGGCCAAGAAGAAAGTGTACGTCTGCCCAGTGCCCGGCTGCATCCACCACGAGGCTGCCCGGGCGCTGGGGGACCTGACCGGGGTCAAAAAGCACTACTCGAGAAAACATGGGGAGAAAAAGTGGAAATGCGAAAAGTGCTCCAAGAGATACGCGGTGCAGTCGGACTTGAAGGCCCATGCCAAGGTGTGCGGCACGCGCGAGTACAAATGCGATTGCGGTACTCTCTTCTCCAGGTAATCAAAACCACAATAATTAAATGGAATTAATCTAGTGATTTTTTGTTTTGTTTTATATGGTGGAATGGATGTGACGGGTGTTGTTAAAAGGGTAGTCACGGGCGAATATGTGTGAAATTGTTGAATAGAGGTGGCCAAAGCCCGTGCCGGTTCAAGGCCCGACCCAGCCTGCCGGGTCAACGGGACTCAAATAGCGGACCTGTAACCGCCCCGATTATATATAGGAACAGGCCCGATCAGCCGGTTCATTGAACCGCCATTTTAAAATAAATTAAAATGGGAATCCAGGTTAATTTGGCATGCTACACTTGTTGACAAATGTCATTAAACTATATGCATATAATGATATTACTAGTACAACACTCGTGTATTACACGAGTGCTTGCTAATTTTTTTCTTAAAATCTAAAATTAATGATAAAAAGTAGTTTGAAAATTTAAATACCTTTTTATGAGAATATATATATTATTATATATTTATTATGACACTTTTTGTTTGTGCGACTTACCTGTGTTATATTATACTAATTTTTTTAACTTACAATATATAACTACATTAATTATAAATATATCAATTGAGAAATAATTTTATTTTTCTAATGAATTTTAATAAATATTATTATTTTTTATTATTATAAAGATAAATATAATTTATTTATTTCCTATATATATACAATATGAATGTCAAATCGAAGATCATCAAAAGATGATTAATTTGATATATTATATATGTAAAACCGATAAGAAATACAAAAGTTATCAACTTTTAAAATACATTTATAATTCAATAGCTTATTGAAGGAAACAAATCAAAATTCAGGGATATTTTAGTCACTTAGTGCCTCACTATATAAAATTACAAAGAATTAAAGGGTTATATTAGTACAAGTGATATTAAAATACATAGGTTAGCTAAATAATATTTATGGAATACCCGAACCTAGATTATTAATTATTAATATATCAATATTATTTGTCCAAACCTAATTACAAAGCATGATTCTTTGTCAAGTAGGATTCCGAAGTACCAGAAGTAGCCACGTAGATTTAACGCATTCGAGAATTATATATAGGGAGGATATATATATAAACTTGTACAAACTTTTAATTGTACAAACTTTTGGAAATTCACAAATAATTGTACTGAGTCAGTCAAGTACGTCGACTGCGACTCGTCTTATTATATGAACAAAAGTAAGTACTTATGGGTATCAAAGCTCACACTTTTTGTTTATATTACTTTGTAAAATATAAGTTAAAGTTTCAATGAATTAGTGTGAATATTAATGAAATAAAGTATTTGGTGTAATGAAATACCTAATGTTAAGACATGCGGTGTTTAGCAGTTTTTAAATAAAATAAGCATTTTTGTGAAAATAAGATTTATAGCAATGTATTGATTTATGATTAATATTTAGTAAGATGGTACGATCACGTTACGGAACTATTTCGTCGAGGTTTGTAATCGTTAAATCAACTATTCTCAACGGTTACATGATGATTTAACAGTGAGAAACCCCGACGAAATGGTTCCAGTAGCATATCCCTAATATTTATAGGCCCGTGTTAATGTCCCGAAATCTTTTAAACTATATATACTCATTGTGTGTGGTAATTGATGGGTTAATCTCCTGGCAAATCAAAATTGCATGGTCATATAAAAAATACTCTTTTAGCTGATTTTTTTTTTTCAATAAAAATAGAAATAAAATGGAAATGGGGGCGTGAAAACCAAAGCTCAACTAATCTTCTTCGATTATCATACAATTTAATGGTCAAAAGGAGAAAAAGTTGTACATC